AATCCATTCTTCAGTGTCCTCGAACCTCCAACTCAGCTGTTCACTTGCAAAAACACAAATGCATTTGTTTCGTGTGTTTGTTTGTGTGTAGTTTTGCATCTTTGTATGTGTCTCTAGCGGAGTCAATGTGTCCGTCAAACCTATTCTTCATTCCTTCAAATTATAACACAAAAAACAGTGGGCCCAATAGTAATAGCAGTTCATTTGAAGTCATACTAACAAATGTCTTTATTCCAATAAAGGGATTTTCCTGATAATTACACTTTAGGGGTGAAGCATGTTTTTCAGGGAGATCCGTGATGCTTCTTCTAGATGACGTGACCCTTTTTGAAGCTAAAACCTTTGTGCCTTCTCTCTCTAAACACGACACGGCTGCTCGGTCACATCTAGGAGTTGTTTCAGACCCCACGGGGGGAATGTGTAAGGTTAAAAATGTCAGCCTGTTATTCTGTAAAACTCGTTAAAATGTCATCGTGTACCTCGTCTGACGGAAGCAGAATAAACGGTTGATGTATGAAGCTGATGTAATTTCACCAAAATGCAGGTGCCAATTTATCAATGCATTGTCTTTAAAGGGACAGTTACACTTTTTGTAAAAAAATACATTTAATGCCTTGCGGAGTTGGATTAATATTTATTCACAGCCCCGAGACCTTGTCACGGAATGGAAGAGAGTGCACTCGAGGCAAAACACTTCCTCAGTTTCCCTCTTAAAGATTTAAATCCACACCACCACTGTGGAGAAGACAGGAACCCGAGTCGAACTGCTGCAGTGTTCAGTTATGTATGTGTGCATGCTGCAAACACGCATGGCTTATCGTTATTCACTTTGTTTTATCTTATATCCCATTTTGAAATGACTGTGGCATTCCATCCCTGTCCTTTGCATAATTGCCTGCTGGCTCTTGCTTGATATTCCGAGATAAGAGCTGGAAACTCTTCCTTTACCATGTGTGATAGCTGATTTAATCAGGGCGTTAGAGAGGGCATGACACAGAGTAAGATTACAACCACCACAACGCTCTCTTCGTTCTTCCTTTTCCTCTCGAGCTGCCAGGTCCCCAGCAGTGTGTGTGTGTGTGTGTGTTGGTGTGGGTGTGTTCATGCATTCATGCTTCCCCTGTGTGTCGCCTGTAGTCCACATCGTGTCTGCGGCAGCTCTCCTGAGTCTATTTCGGCACGTTGCGATACGATATTACTGCTGCAGAATGAGGTGTTTCTGTTTGTATGTCACGTTAGTTTCCTGCGTCAAATATACAAAATAGTTTGTAAACCCCCAAATATCCTCTTGTGTCTCATCACATTTTAAAATCGCTGACAAAAATGAGCTCAAAGTAGATTTACTCCTTTAAATGTCCCTTTGGGGCATTGAGCCATGGAGAGGAAGCCTGTGGTGGGAAGGACAAACCTGCACAATGACTAAGGCGGTAGTTCAAGCACAGCCATTGCGCGTCCCCCATTGTGCGTCCTCCTCCACTTCTGCTGTCTTAGAAGTCCACTGGAAACCAAAACCTCGTTTTCACACCGATTTATACCTGGAATATAAAAAAATGATTTGGAGAAAGAGTCTGAGGCACCAACAGTCTAAACTTGCCTTTGATGTTAACAAGCGGTAAATCGGGTTTCAGAGCGAGGGAGATGCAGAGGGAGACGGGGCGATGGGGGAGGGAGGCCGAGGGGGAGACAAAGGGAAGAGACAGGGTCAAGAGAGGGAAAAAGGGGATGTTGGGGGGAGATATGTGGGAAGTTAGAGGCAGAGAAGAAAGGGGGGAATTGAAACGAGCGAGGCGAGAGAGTAGGAGGAGGAGGAGGATGAGGAAGAGAGTTGGGCTCCTTTCCTTTCATGTTGGGGAGCGGAGAAGGCGAAAGTCAAATGGAAAGAAATTAAAAGGTGAGAGATGATAGAGAGGAAACGCTTTCGCTGCTGTGTACGAAAGGTTTACCTCCTTTGAGATGAAAGGGTCTCGCGTGGAAGCCGGGGGAAATATCTCACCACGCTGAATGATGTCAGCGCCGTGTGTTCTGGCTTGTGTTTATCTTGTAGGTCTGATCCCGGAGGACCTTCAGCGTCATCAGTCAGAAAATGTCAAAAAACTCGCTCAACATGTAGAGCCAGAAGTTGACGTTATTCCTCTTTACATGTTTTAATTAACAAGACTATTGTAGGCAAATCCTAATTTGTAACAGGGAACATAGAGTATAATTTAGCCTTTATTTTGTCATTTCACGTAAGAGTGAATGTTCTATTTTTAGCCAAATACTCTCAACCCTGTAGGCCTTTTTAAATTTGAATTTGATCCAAATATCTGAGTCTGGAAATGTTTTTCTATAAGGGAAGAGTAAGAAAGAACATACAGAAACTATGCAGGCCTAGATGATTAAAACAAGCACGTAAGATATGGTAACGGTTTACTGTTTACCCACTGCAGAAATACACAGGACACACACAGTGTTCCATTATGTTCAACAGGCATTGAGGGTCAAACTGTGTGTCAGACTCTGAGGGAAAGTTTGTGTAGCGTGGAGAGAAGATTGAGAGATTAAAAACTACTACGCAGAAGGTGAGAGAGAGGGGAGGATAAGTTATATACATGCCAGGAATGGAATGGCTGTGGAAAATAAATAAATAAATATATGAATAAAATAATGAGGGGGAGGGATGGAGAGGAAATATGCACAAATACAAAATCTCTAGAAATCTACATAACACAAATATATACAGCTAATGGTGTGATTAGAATATTTTATGCTTTATACTAACTGACAATCACAGTGTCAAAGCTTGACTAGGTGGAGGATTTAGTCAGTCACGGTACAATTTCTTTGACATAAAATCAACAAAATAAAAACCTTTGTGGAGAACGACAACATGCCTGCGTACGGTTATGGTCAGTTTCCTTTCTTCATGAATCCGTTGTCGGTGGAAGATGTCCAATGAAATGTCGTTCCAATCAGTGGTGCATTTAGGCGAGCGAGGCGTGTCAAAGTGAAAGTGCAAAAATGGATGCTTCTCCGATGTTCTGCTCATCAGAGGATCTGCGAGGGTGCCGTCCGCTTTCTGAAACACAACCATGATAATCCCGTGTCTACGTCAATGTATCAACTGAATCAACAGAATTTGCTTTTCCATCATTTTGTAAAAACAATGCAGAGCCACAGTCAGGGGGACGAAGAAGACATTGCCGATGACACCCAACTAATTCTCTCCTTCCCTCACTCGGACACCCAGGTGGCGGCTCGGATCTCTGCCTGTCTAACTGACATCTCTCAGTGGATGTCCGCCCACCATCTGAAAATCAACCCCGACAAGACTGAACTACTTCTCTTTCCCGGAAAAGACTCGCTTACCCAGGACCTGACAGTCAACTTTGGAAACTCTGTGCTAACGCCCACTTCGACTGCTAAGAACCTCGGCGTCACACTCGACAACCAACTCTCCCTGACTCCCAACATCACTGCGACAACGCGATCCTGTAGATACACGCTCTACAACATCAGGAGAATACGTCCTCTTCTCACTCAGAAGGCAGCGCAGGTACTGATTCAGGCTCTTGTCATCTCCCGCCTGGACTACTGCAACTCCCTCCTGGCAGGTCTCCCTGCCACCGCCATTCGACCTCTGCAGCTCATTCAGAATGCAGCAGCTCGACTGGTCTTCAACCTTCCGAAATTCTCCCACACTACTCCACTCCTCCGCTCTCTTCACTGGCTACCGGTGGCCGCCCGCATCCAGTTCAAAACACTGGTGCTCACGTACCATGCTGTGAATGGATCGGGTCCAGCTTACATCCAGGACATGGTCAAACCCTACATCCCAACCCGCACTCTCCGCTCTGCATCTGCAAAACTACTCGTCCCTCCCTCACTGAGAGCAAAACACTCGACTAGGTCTCGACTCTTCGCTGTCCTTGCGCCGAAATGGTGGAACGCGCTCTCTGAGGACATCAGGACCGCAGAGAGCCTTCACATCTTCCGCCGCAAACTAAAGACACACCTCTTCAGACTCTACCTCGACTAAAGACTAACAAATTGTAGCACTTAAATTGTACTTGTGACGTCACTCATCTATAGCAAATTGTAAATTCGCTTATTTGAGGAAATTGCACTTTCTTGTTTCTTGTTCTCCTGAGTTTGTACCCTATGGTTGAATGCACTTATTGTACGTCGCTTTGGATAAAAGCGTCAGCTAAATGACATGTAATGTAATGTAATGTAATTTTCTGTGCAGTGTAATATTCTACTGGCGCAATTCTTTTAGGTCACTTGTGTGTGTTTTGGTCTGTTGTGGTCAGTTTCTCTCAGGTGGCCTTTGTGCCCTTTTTGTTTGCTTTGTGTCTCTTTTGGAAGAATGTTTACCCTTGAATACATTTTTGTCTTTTGTGTCTCTCAAGTCTTTTTCTTTGAGCTGCTTTAATTTTACATCTGCGTAGGATTGAAACTGTCCTGTTTTCTTTCTGCACTGTAACGCTCTTCGTATTTGAGGACGAATCCCCTTCATCCATTGGCACACAGTTTAAAATGCAGTGCAAAGGTTGGCAATACTCTCATGGGTGCTTTTATATGTTCAGATCCATTATGCTAATGGCTTCAAATGAATGTGATTAACTAGTTTCAGAATATTGCCCATTTAAGACAGCGCTCCAGATTGGTGGAGGTTACATGATCTCTCCGGGTATTCACAAACCCCAAATGCCACCGATGTGGCAGCGAGAAGCTACAGAAGCATATTATTAACCTTTCGTTCCGGGCCATTTGCAAAACCGAGTTCCAAAGTGCTTTACAGCACAAATACAAGTGTAAGCAGTGTTACTGGCTCGAATGTTCTACTGAAAACCCGCTCCGGGCCGGGCTGAAGGAACGCACAACAGGGGGCGCATCTGTTTCTGCTCCAGCGTCCCAAGTCGAGTCCATGCGAGGTTCAGCTGGAAATGTCACACTCTGCATGCACAACGTGCCAAACTCCACCCAACTCGCCTCTTCGGCTCTTCTCCCCTCCTCAGGTGTCCCCCAACTGCGACCAGGTCCTGGTGAACGGCAAAGAAATGCGCGGTCGGCAGTCTCTGGCGGTCAACTTCACCTACCTGCACCTCTCTGCTCAGCTGCAGCTCACCGTCTGGGTGCCCAAGCTTCCCCTGCAGATAGAAGTGTCGGACACGGAGCTGAGCCAGGTTAAAGGCTGGCGGGTGCCAATCGTCACCAACAAGAGGTAAATACCCGCGAGGGACATTAAGGAAAGATCGAGATTGCATTTTCACCTTCTATCATCTCCAGCTCAAGAAAGCTAGAAGAGTCAATTAAAAACGTGCTTTGCTGGTTGATTTGCGATCTCCTTTGAGGGGAGCACTTTGCAGTGGACAAACAAACGTGTCCATACTTTCCGGAGGACAAACTAAAATATGTGTACAGAAAAGATACATTAATAATATTTAGAATACAGGTAGAGTCACAGGGGGTCCATTATTGAGCCATAATGTACAGTAGCTTCACGTTGAACCGAGCGCTCCATATCACTGCACACGTTAGATTTTGCGCAACCGTTATTTGACATTTCAGTTTTTAGCTCGGTTCGCGGTCGCCGGAAAAAGGCCGGAAATCCCACAAATGATGAATGTTTCGGGCAATGTGAGCTTTTGCAACCGGACGTCGTGAGCGATGTGAATGAATGAGATGGTGCGAGATCTTGCAAGGAGACCCAACGCTGCATGTACAGGGACTATTTTCCTCCAGACTACTGAAATGCGATACACAACACCCTCGAACTGTTACATCATTGGACAATAAAGAACAGCCTCTCGTACCTTATCGCTTAACTAAATAACTATATAAATAAACATACAATAAACATATAGTAAATATTTTTGATGTCGAAAGGACTTTACAGCCGGTGGCTCCAAACCCACACAAGAGCATAGACATTCTTTACAACCGAGAGGGAAAAGAAAGAATAAACCGAGGCAATGCAGGACTGTGATGAGTGTGTCTTTTGTTTGTGGTGTGTGTGTGTTGACACGTGCATGTGTGTCTGATATAGTGCTTATTGAATGGAGAAGTTGAGAGCACATATCTTTGCAGCCTGTCTGTGATTTCCTATTAGGTCGAGGCCGGGCCTGGCTAAAGTGATGACACGCGTTATGGCTTTAGCATCATTGCCACTGAATGCAGCATTCAGTCAACACACACACACACACACACGCTTTCTCAAAAGGGAGACAATGCAAGAGGTCTGTGTCTGTTGGTCTGTGAGCTTCGGCTTGTGTCCAAACTAGGGGACAGTGTCTTTGTGTGTGTTTGTGAACGTGCACACGTTTGTCAACTGTGAAGATTTTTGTTTGTTTTTCCAATATGAAAAAAGAAACACATTATGCATTAAGATCCTGCAAATCCATGAAAAAGTGCATATGCTATGTGGAGACTAGCATTTATTTGACTTGGTGCACCTGTAACTTTTGATTGCTGCACCCTGTGTATTTAGATTTCTTTAAATCAAATCTAAATATTTAAGCATCAATGAGCCATGGAGGGAGGAAATTATTTTTTTCTTCCATCTTTTTATTGTCCTTTTTTCCTTCCTGCCACTTTTACTCCTGTATCTCCTGTAGAGTTTGCGTCATTTAATTGAATGTTACAACAGAATAATAGCTAACCTCTGAGTTTCCTCCGAGAGGGGAGTTATGACGTCGCAGAACATCAAGCATGTGAAAACTTATTGCTTAAATTTGGGTTTAGCTGAGCACACCCCAGCATGGAGAAGGGATGTTTGAGCAAGAAGTTTTTAAATGCAAATCTTCCGTCAGTTTAATGCAGAGTCACTGAGTTTTAAGGCTGTGTGTGTGTTTTTTTTATCATAGCAGTGTGTGTGTGTTCATTTGTGTGTGTCTGTTGCTTCTATTCCCCATCTTGCCGGCGTCGCTTTCTTTTCTGCTGGACCTATTTTTCAATTTTGCCAATTTCTGCTCAGATTGCCTCCAACCCGCGTGCACGCACGCTAACAAACACACACCTCTGTCTCCCCAACAACAGCAATATCGCACTAAGTGAAACACACATTCTCACACAGACACATGTCACACCGAAACACTAGGAGACAGAAGAAGGATTCTTGTCATGTTTCACACTACGGGACAGTTATGAGTCCTTTTATTGGGTGTGTGCCTTTTATTGTGTATTTTATCATTTCAATACGTTACGTTGCGGCTGCCGTACTTGCGGGCGGCCAGTCCAGGTGGGGCTATTTTATTATAAACATTAGTACAAATTCAAAAAACTAAAAAGCTGTTTTGCAGGTGTCCGTTTCAATGATGTGACTCATACGTCCACCCGACTCTGTCGCTACTACGTCCCTTACGTCTTCCTTCGTTTTTCGCGAAAACAAAACTACACTCAATTTTTTCCCCTGTTCAACTGAAACAAGTTTTAAGTCATGCGTAGAAACATAGATCAGATACATAGAATTTATTGAAACTTGGACAGGGGCTCATATTATCTGGACACAATGAAATATAGCGTGGTGTGTCATCTGCATAGCGATGTTGATGGACATAAAGATTAAACACATAGGAACATTTATTCTCTTTTAAACCAAAATCGAGTATATGCTACAAAAAGAATTTATATTTTTTGAGGTGAGGGAAACTGTATGAAAAACCCACCCAGGTTAAAACCAAAGAATAAAGCGTCCTTCACCCAGGTATTCCAATACACGCACACGGTACAGCTACTTTAAAAGTCTTTCAGCCGGATCCAAAACTAAAGCGTCTATTTTTGACAGAGAGTTTCACCCAAAACTCAGATTATACTGTAGATTACCTGGAGTATTAAAACAGCATTTAATTACCAGATAATCCCACCCTGTCATTCTCTCTCCGTCTCATTTATCTCTTTTCCCCCCAGACCTACCAGGGACAGTGAAGATGACGAGGATGATGAGAGGAAGGGCAAAGGCTGTGCCCTACAGGTATTATTTTATTAGGTTGCATAACACGCTTTTTAAGACACTTTAATCCTTTTCTTCAACGTCAATATCCCCGAGAGGCCGCAGGAACCTTCCCTCCTCTTACTGCAAGTGTGACCTGCTTGCTGTAGGATGTTACGGAGTATTACATTTTCTTTGGCTTCTATTAGTTAAGACACAAGCTGCCATCGCTGTGTGGTGTCAGAGTCTAACCGCTCTCTTAACCTTTCAGTACCAGTATGCCTTGGTGAGGGTCCTCACCCATTTTGTGGCAGAGCCCTCTGACCCCGGAGGAGAGATGGTCTTCATGTTGGGTGCGGACTGGCAAGCTGACATCACTCACCTGGTCTTGGACCAGCTAAAAGTAGGCTGACACAAACACTCGCATGTACACACACAAACAAAAGCAAAACATTCCTCGAGGAAATAAAATTAACTTTTTGGGGACGTCACAAATGGAGAGTGGGATGAGTAGATCGATACCACTTGGGAGGTTATTGGGAGTATTTTGACAGAAATGGATTGATTTAGCTTAACCACCATATATTTAAAATGTGTAAACTCTTTCCATATTGGACCCTTTTAGTGCAGTAAATCAACTAATCCAGGAGTAATGCATGTTCTAGACATTAATTATGACCAAATTGATTGAGTTCTAGTACTGTCTTACAGGTAGAAGATCCTCGCATTGCCAGATTGATAGACGGACGGGTCCTGATGGGGCGGGACCTGGGCATTACTACAGTACAGGTACGTGTACTGCTGCTCTCTGCTAGTCTCCTCCCTCTACAAGGCATCCACTCCGTTTTCTCCTTCATCGTTACAACTCGGTTACTTGTGCTGTTCCTAAACAACCCATCGTCATAATTAAATCAGTGTGCAAGTAAAAATAAACCATCTCTTAACAACCTGAGAATTAAATATGAAGAGGCTTTTGAAAAATTCTAATGCGGTGTTAAACCTTGTCACTTTGATTTCCATATTAATCTAGAACCAACAACTGCTGTGCCAAATACCAAAGATAAATCATCAAATAATTGGTGTTCAAATAGCCAAACACCTTAACGTTTTATTAATCTCCTCTCGGGAAAAGAAGTCTTGAGAAAGACGGTCGAGTGTTTGAATAATTTGGCCGCTCAAATCGCAGCCAAAAGCACTCGAGTGATGTAAACATGATCCCCTCTTCATTCCTCTCTCACAGCTACCGTAAGCCTCGCCCGCTAGCTCATTACACAATTAGCCACAATTAACGGATTTGGCTCTGACACCTCAGACACACACACGCACACACACACAGTGAACACACTCGTGCACTCGCTGAATTCCAATGAGCTGGGTGGAGACGGTGGAGGACAGTTCGGTGGCTCACCGGTATTCTGTCCTGCATGCGTGTACCTCACCGCCGTGGGCACGATGCACGTTTTATTATATTCCACGAGGCCACACCTTCTTTTTTCTTTTGTTACAAGACAACTATGTACTTTCAAATGATCCCATTTGTGTCTAAGTGCTTCCATTTGAGTGATTGCTCTGATGGGAGTGTTGTGCGTTATGGGTCTTGGGGATTTCGATTTTTGGGGGGAACAGCTAACTAGCTAAGAGTGTGTTAGTGCATCCGCTAGCGATTGCTGCATGCACACACACACATAGACACACACACAAACACAGGTACACACATATACAGCCAGCTGTGGTCTTTTTGGGAGCCAGGAGAGAAACTTTAACCAGCATTCCCATTTCGACAGCTGGAGTCATTTGATAGTTTGACATTTCAATTTTAACCCCCCTCCCTCCCTCCCTTGAGTCTCGCCTCTTCTTCTCCCCCCCCCCTTTCTGTCCCGCTCTCCCTCCTCCCACCCGGTCTCTCCCTTTCGCCCTCCTATTCTCTGCCTGTCTTGAAGAGCAATCCCATAGCTGTCAATCATTGCATTTTGTTAGCTCGCCGCGGCCGGGATTGAGTTTGACGCCCCGACACGTTCCCTGAGAGATTTTCTTTGTACACCAATCAGATCTGCCTGTCCCGCTGTCGCCGGGCGGAGTAGCGCACTACAGCTCGGTGCCCCTAATCTCCATCAGAGTCTGTCTGCTGCTCCCTCTCTCCATCTGCACCTCAATCTCTTCTGCGCTCCTTCGTTCTGTCCTCCTCTATTTGTCACTGCCGCTCGCTCGCTGACACCGAGCTGCGTTCACTTCTCTCTCGCCCGCGCTCGCTCCTTTCTGTTCATTCAGGCCTTCAGCTTCGGCCTTCTACTTTGTCTTTGGCCAAATTGTCTCGGGTGAATGGCGGCACGGCTGGGAGGCGGACGGAAACAGTGTGTCTGCGTGTTTTGTTTGTCTGTGTGTGTGTGATTCCACTACTCATCGTGTGTTACATTGTGAGAGAATCGCCAGCTTTAACAGGACTTTTTCTCTGTGTGAGTCTGTTGAGCCGTGAGCACCGGCGTGTTAGGCAGCTCTCGCCGCTCGCTCGCCAACGCCAAACACTTCAACTGTCACCACGCGGCAGTTTATTGCTGAGACAACGACAAAAGCTGCTTTAATGCAGCTCCTTCTACATTTGTTATTTTGACTTTTACCGATGCAGCACGACCAACGGGATCTCTTTGTTCCCATCGTTATAACTTGGTGAAACCACCAGGTAGTCGGTGTTGTGATTGGGTGGGAATTTGGAGCAGCATGTCTGAGCATCCGCAGACTCCGCTGACTCCGCTCTAATAATGCAGATCCACCTGATCTTTGGTTGCAGGTTCTGTCCCCGCTGTCCGACTCCATCCTGGCAGAAAAGACTGTGACCGTGTTGGATGACAAGGTAAAAATAGCACGTTGGATTATTTTGTGCATTAGGGATGTAGGTCCCTTTTACCGGCATTCGTCATGATTTTATCTTTCCGTTGCAGGTCACCATCACCGACATGGGAGTCCAGCTGGTGGCATCGCTTGCCCTCAGTATGACGGGAAGTCCTGGAAATAACCAAGCTATACAGCTAACGACCACAGCCACAGACCTGCTACACACCCCCAAACAGGTAGGAGGAACCTTTTTTTTTGTTTTTGAAATTTTTTTATTGTTAGGTCTCCATGTTTAATGTGGAGAATGAATGATGCTTCTAGAAATTCTACTAAATTCATTAAAATAATAAAAAGAAAATTAATGGAAAAACCACAAACATCCATTCCGGACACCGACATATTCACAAAAGGATTCCAATGTTTTCTCTCTGAAGGCCCACGTATACTGTACTCCTCACAGCCTTTGGGTTTGTGTTGCACGCAGACACACACTGATGGACTTTGTCTCAAGCTGCTCCCATACAGCTTCACCCTGAAGGCTGTAATCACGGCTGTTAAACAGTAATTCTCACATCACAACACATCACTGCTATCGCTGCTATAATCCGTTTGTAATTAGCAGAGCGCAACTCCCAGGCTTTAGCGCAGTTTAGATACGGTTGATGTTTACAACGGCAGATAAGGCCGCTCGTTTTCTAGAAATGCTGCTTTTCTGTTGCCCATATATATGTAGATTTCTTTTCATTTGAATTCACGTTTCTCTGATTTTGCTTATTCACAGCATAAAAATACAGACACCTAAAAAGAAAATGCACACAAATTGTATATTGCAATGTTACGAGCTCTTCTTGATTTTCTCCGCACCCTTTCTTTTTTTTCCTCCACTATCTCAAACTAGTATCCCCCCCACACACACCGTCATTTCCATTTAACAATACCCCACATTATCATCTCCGTTCGAGGGCTAATTGGACGAGAGGCCGCTCATTACGATGGAAACACAGATCTGAGATTGCCATTTATTCTAACATTCATGTATTTTCCCATCGGGGTGTTTTTTTCTGCATCCTTCACCCATTACCTGTGGAAGGATGATTGACCGTGGAGAGGGAAAGTGAGAAAAATAAAAGAGAAGATTAGATGGTGGATGGCAGGTTTGGGGAGGGGGGGGGGGTTGGTGAGGCGGAGGTAAGGAAAAACTACAATTTACGGTGGAATTAAAGGAAGGCAAAAGACAAAGTGTTGTTCCCGTCGTTGGAGCTTAATTACCTTTGTACTACTCGTGTTCTGATTAAAGAAACCAGAGGGTTTCAAGGGACTTGACTGCTGAACTCTGCTGCTGCTGGAAGAAGACCAATATATCTTTCAAGTATTTGTAATTGAAGAGATGGGGAGACTGGGAAAAAAATACAAAAAAAGTCAGAAATGATTAGCTATCAATTATCAATTTCTACACTGCTTGAGTTTAGGCGTCTCATCTGCCACCACCTGCTATTAATTTCCATTGAGTTGGACATTTTCTTTTTATTAGCCGATAACTGTACATGTAGATTGTATGTAACTACAGGTATTTAGTCTGTTAAAGTCATAACCCTGTTTGAATGAAATGAAATCTATTTATTGGAGTAAACACATCAGATTACAAAGTTATTACGGCCTTTCATCTTTGGTTTAGCACTCAACTACGGCCAGTAATTAAACTTTGTCTCCGTCCGAGTACCTCTCGTGAATCCATTAGTGAAACTGTGGCTAAACTCAAACGAACATCGTCCCAAAGTTAAATCCACTTTGAGGTTTGAATGTGGCCTTTCATCGTAGCTTCTCGTGGCTTCTCTCCTTCAGGAGGCGGCAGTCAGCGCGTGGATCCAGTACAGCGACGGGTCGGTGACGCCGCTCGACGTCTACGATTCCAAGGACTTCCTCCTCTCGGTCGTGTCGTTGGACGAGAGCGTCGTCTCCATCGCGAATCAGGTACTCGTCATTGGAAGTTTTCCACGGAAGACCTAGCGATGGCTACGAGGCGGACAGCGCGTTTGACGGTGAATGTCCTGCAAACCTTTGCATTGTCTCTCCTCTCTGTCAGGAGCAGCACTGGCCGCTTGTAGTAGCAGAAGGCGACGGACGGGGAGCGCTGGTCCGCGTCGAGATGATCATCTCGGAGACCTGCCAGAAATCCAAAAGGAAGAGCGTGCTGGCATCCGGAGTAGGCAACGTGATAGTGAAGCTCGCAGAAAAGGGTGAAGACAGGGCTGCGATGGGGCGGGGGGGACGGGACGGTGGAGGAGGGGCGGACAACGGCACCAGCGTGCGCCAAGCAAAGGACGCAGGGTGGAAGTCTAACGGTGCAGCAGCTGATCGAGAGGAAGGAGCCATGAGGAAGGTGAGGGGGAACATTGGGAAAATCAGAAAAAGCTCAATTATTTTCATAAATATTACTCGATAGTTTGAATGTGTTCATCGCTTTCATTGGAAATGCACTCATTGGATCGAATAGGATCACCTGTCTCTCCTTTCATCCTACATATGTTGCATTAACGAAAATCATCAATTGCAGAACTGCATGACCCAGCAAATAAAACAAGCACGAATACGTGTTTTTCGGGGAATGACCTCCATGCATTATCTCCACTATTCGTCAGGTTACCACGACGACCAAGAGCACCGTGACCCACCGTGCTTCAGGCGGTAAGGCCGACAGCGGAGGCAGCAGCAGCAGCAGCCGCGGCGGAGGCCCCAGCCAGGGGGGGGCCAGTAGCTACCCAGCGCAGGTAGAGGTACCGGGCACCGGGGAGAGTGAGCTTAGCCAGACCACCAGAGGACTGACGGACCTGGAGATCGGAATGTACGCCCTTTTGGGGGTGTTCTGTCTGGCAATACTGGTCTTCCTCATCAACTGCGTCAGCTTCGCCTTCAGGTAAAAAAAAGAAAGAAAGTGACGTTTGACAACTCAACTGCTGTCATTAACAACGAGAATGTCGGCCAAGCAAGAGACATCACACCTGTTGACAGCGTCGCTCTCATCGTTCTTCCTGCAGATACCGGCACAAGCAGGTCCCTGTGCTGGAGGCAGGAGACAACATGAACCACGCCCATGACTGGGTGTGGCTCGGGAACGAGGCCGACCTTCTCGCCGACCACTCTGACCACTGCCAGGGCGGGCTGCCGGACGAGTGCACCACCATCATTGACCGGAACGAAGGAGGGTACGAGGAGAGCAAGTACCTGCTGAACGGGGCCGGTAGCGCCCTGGCGATGGGCGTCGGCGCGGGAACCCTCCGCGGGCACCGGGGCGTCGCACACGGACAAACCTTGCCCAGATCGGCGTCCGAACCGCACCAGCGCCTGCCGGCGATCCCCACCGGGGGCAAAAACGCCACCGGCCAAGCCGAGCACCTCAACAACTCCCCCAGGGTCACGGCCGCCGTCGCGGCCGCCAAGCGCAAGCGCGTCCAGTTCACGTCTTTCGCCACCGTCCTGCCCGGCGACAACGGGCAGGGTGGGGGCGGGCCGTACGCCAAGCCTTCAGTGCTGGCGAGCAATGGGAGCGAGGATGACATCAAGTGGGTGTGCCAGGACGTGGACCTGGGTCAGTCTGAGATCAGAACGTACATGGAGAGGCTACAAGACAATCTGTGACGTGGGGGGAAGAGACTGAGACGTGGGGGGGGCAGAGGACGGGTACAGGGGGGGAGGATGGACAATGAGTACAATTCACCTGTAATGCCTTTGCAATGGATGAAGGGAGGGGGGCAGGGAGGAATATGAGAGGAGCATTCTGGCATCGCACCTAAAGCAATGGTAGCAAACACTAATAACCATGAGTTTGTTTCTTATTAATAATCGTGAAAACATTAATAGTCACTATTGGTTGTGAATGTTTATTTTCAGAATACCAGTACACCATTGGGCAGGTAATGCTATCGGACAAAGGTACCAAACCACTTCACATTCAAACGGGATTACGAGAACATTGTTTTTGAAGTGTTTTTTTTTACCATACGGTATTTTGTCCTTATTGGCTGTGGCTGGTTTTAACATGAGCCGGTCTGCTGACTGATTAAATAGTGATTATGATCATTAGTTTAGCACAGATAAACAGATCCTTCTGTTCTTCTTCTATCACGACCCATTTGCTTTTGGCTCGTACTGTATGTGAAATGTAATATATATATATACATATATTCTAAGTACATAACACAACATACGGGAGCCCGTGGGCGTGAATCTGGGCAACGTCGCGCTCTCCTCAAACATCAGAATGTGACAAAGAGTTGGAAGACGATATGACGAACAATTTCTCCCTTGGATCCAAAACAGAGGCATTTGAAATTTGCACAATTCCAAACAGAAAAGGACATCAGCCATATTTCAGGCGCACTTCCTGTTTTGTGAAACCTTGAAGCCAATGGCGGCTTTCAACCAATCGCATCTCCCCCTGGCCCCTCTCCTCGTCTTTGATTGGACGGCAGTGAACTGAAGAGGGGACGGACTGAGGTGTCTCGCGTAAAAAGAGCCTGAACGAACATGAACGAATGGGGATTATTTAAAACGAAAACGGACCTGCAGTTTGACGGGATGAATGGAATGAAATACAGTACAAATGAAAGTGAAGAGCAACTCGTGTCTCACAAGTAGACAATGGGTTTCATTTTTGTTCAGGCGAACGCAATTACGTGTATGGTTTCTCTTTTGTTTGTCCGTTTTGATTAATAGAATGTTTTTATTAGGTTTCTCCTTAAGTTTATTAAGAATATGTGATTATTATTTTCTTCCTACGATCTATTTATTTGAACGAACATTGGAGAGGGCGTAGACCTGCTGGTGAATGGAAGCACACAAGAGAAATGAAGGAGACCCAACAGGCAGCGGTCGCCTCACCTTCGTTAAGCTCAGGTGACGAGTCATGAAGAACTGATAATAGAAAAAAAAAAAAAAAAAGGAGAACTGTCAGATTAAGATTGCAATATTTATTTATAAATGTGTTACTGTTTCAGAGTACACTGTATGTTGTAGATAAATAAACTAAATGATTCAAAGTGCTTGTGAATAAGATTGAAGGTCAGCAAACAAACACATGATGATATTTTGTACATTTTACAGTGAAAATATGGTACACGATGCTACAATCTACCGCCACAATGTGAAAGTGATCTTACTGGTTATTTTTCTAAAGATGTTCCTGTCTTTGTTTAAAGTATTGAATTAGTGATTGTCTTTGTACAGGGTATAATCAGTTTACCTCTATAACGAGATGAACAAATGCAGGAGGACCCATCGGGAACCGTAATACAAACCGCTTGAATGGTGCGATTCCAAAAACATTGATTTTAAGAAAGAAAACCAAACCAGAGATCAGGATGTTGCGCCTGTGGATTAATGCCGACACAAGAGTCTCTGTTTCCAATGATTTGCTTGACGGCGTAACGTGGAGGATCTGGTCACTATTTCACCTCCACGACGGGTCCATTACATCTAAATAAACACATTTTGTACAGCTAAATAAAAACCTCTGCTATCTAACGATTTGCACATGCGTCACTGAAGTCCGTGTGCTCCTTCATTGTTTGTTCGTTGACTTCAACATAAACAGGCAGAAACGAAACCACGCCGGTCAGCCCCACCCAAAGAAGAGCGGGCCGCCACTCGGCGTCTCCAGGGGACGGAGGGACGTTCCTGACTGAGTGCGACCGCTAATTAGGGGGTAGGACTCATTTACTTCACTTTTTTCTTTTATGTTTCAAAGTGAAGTTCTTGCCGGATTATCCACGTTGCACCTTTCGCACCCAAAAATAATAACAAATGCAAATCAACTCACGTAAATCAGAATGAGGCCAGAACGAATCCAGACAGCGAGAAGACACCTGAACCGAGCTCCAACGCGAGCGGGCTGCAATAGATCCTGATGACCAGGAGGATCACTGAAAGGGAAGCAGTGCTTTCCGTGAATAAACACTTTGACTCTTGAACTATGAGTTTGATCGTCTGAAAAAAAGGCTATTTTTTATTTGTGGAAAGACTGCAATTTATTGTATGCTTTATAAATGAATGCTGAAGTTTAGCAGAGTTGCTCAGAAGCTTTGTTCCAATGTTTGGCTTCTCTGCAGCTGTTACACGGATCGGTAATAGCTGGTTAATGACAGACTCTGATTTTGTGTTTATTCTCTGTACTTCGGTTTTACCGATAACATTCAATAAACATAAGCAGTTGAGCAAGTGTTAGAACAAGATTTGGGTTTTTTTTTCACATTCCTTTAGGTTTTTGATGGGGTTTTTTTTCCTATTTATCCAAATTCTAAAAGCATTTCAATGTATTTCTCTGAGACAAAACAGTTATGTTATGATATGAACATAAATCTGCCGATAAAGGTTTTCAGACGGTTCATGGTTATTTTCCACTGGAGGATTCACTTATTTAATACGTCGTCGCTCAGCCTCATAGTGCACGTTTTCAGGCTCCTACTTGAGTTTCCTTATGAAAAAAGGGGCCCTTGTTTTCCTGGGATGATTCTCCACAATGAGCCACTATAGATGTTTCCCCCTGAATGCGATCAGACAATAACACTCGATTCAAACGAACATCCTGCTGTCCCATGGAACCACATAGCGCTGCTTGGTAAAATGGTCAATTCGAATAGCTCGTCATACTTTAATCGGAACAACTCCTGTTGGGTGAAGCCGATCATCAAACCTCTCCAGTGGCAGAAAAAAAAAAAATGAAACCAAAAGAAATGTACATTCTGAAAATGTGTGTTTGTTGTGTAGTCACAGCGAGAGGTTTGCGTTGGCAGAAGATGAATGTGAATGAATGAATGTAGAAGAAGTGGACACCGGCCCTAAACATTTTTGTTGTGTTATTTTTCTTTTTGCTGTTCGTGAAGGCGAATAAAGACCCACAACCCCAAAAAACAGCCTGTTCCCTTTGTCTTACTCGTCCACTGGAGTCCAAACAACAAGCAGCCATTGCTGCTCCGATAATCTTTAAGAGGCTGCTCAGAGGTTTAGTTACTCGTCTCGGTAACAGATTATGCAAAAGGTGAAAACAACTGTTAACATTAAGGACTACGAGACAATCACTGACGTCGCCGATAAGCGAGCTTTCAATCAAAGACACTGATGGGGTTCCCCGGTGGCGTCTTTTGTCCTTGTTTGAGACGAGCCAGGCCGGACCAGGACCAATCAGCGCCGTCTGGCTGGTGATGGTGATGAATCGTGTCCAACCGAGGCGACCAGGCGGAGCCATTACTCTCCACCTGCATCGGACACGAGCGGGATGGAAAATCATTTGCTCATAATTGAGTTCGTAGCGATTCGGCCCAAAAAGTTCACCAAGCGATGCAACGTATTTTTCTGGGTTATCTTTTTTTCCTTTTTTTGGGGCTCAGAAAGCCGACGCGGGTCAGATGGTCACATTTTTTACCTGTGAAGGATTCTGGTCCTCGGTGGATCCCGCGGTCTTTTCCTCAGCGCCGTGTTCCACCGAGGAACAGTCAATAATCTGGGCCTCCAAACCCAGATCATTGGTCATATACAACGGCCTCCATCTATCCATCGCGTCATGAACGTATTATTTAGAATAGTGTTTTGTGCCCAATGACCAGATGACTGTTTTAATTCGGCTCTAAATTGTGATGTCAATCAACGGCTACTCTAATCGTTGTGACAAAGGACCACCGCTGAGAAGCAGCCAAGCAGGAAGTGGCCGTTGCCGTGGGAGACGGGAGAGGAGACACAAACTTCACCTTTTACATCACATTTCATTCAGCTGACTCCTTTTAATTAAAGCGACCCGCAATAAGTGCATTGAACCGTGAGGCCACAGAGGCAGAACAACAAGAATCAAGAGTAATAAGGAAGACAAACTACACAGCGGTGATATTTAGATCATCCTTGCTGTTTAATATTAAATATATTTGTCTTGTTTACATTCTGTGCTGATTAGTTTCAGAATACACGCTTGACTGTATGTCTATAAGCCAATTAAAGTTATCTAAGGCATCTATGGACAATATGCTCATTGTTTATTTTTGATTTGAACATGTTCTCTAATCCCAAAGTATGTATCTGACTTAATTAACTATGGGGGGAACTATTCAGTGATTTACACTTTATGAGGGCTTGAATTGTGCACTTTGCTCCAAGGTTTTTTCATCCGGTTGGAATATTAACCGTTCAATCAAAAGTCTGATGTTTGATACTTTCAAATTCACACAAAGGTCTTAATCAAAAGCCAGAAAGAACTGATTTGGGCAACTCTGACAAATTATCCTCTGTGGTTGAAGGACTTTTTATAACTACAAAAAACAACTGCTAGAATCCTGTTGTCATGTTCAGTAGTTATATAAAACCATAACAATTCAAATGACAACGACTCACATGCTTGTTTTTTTTATTTAAATGTTTCATCTGATTAAAAAACACGCTTCGGTTAGTTTAATTATGAATCATAAGCTGCTTACAGCTCGTGTTAGAAAGTTAAACTCGCTCCATAATGCCACCCAACGCCTGAGAGAGACGGCTGTCTGCAGGCGGGCGCGTCTCTGGGAGCAGTGAAAACCACTAGTCAATAATATTGATTGAGTTTGTTGTTCCTCCGCGGCTTATTTTGCACCTGCATTTGTAACAAATTGCCAGATTTATGTCGTTTTCGCTCACGCTGAAGAACTGCGTGCGTGTGTGTGTACGTGCAGATGTGGAACCATGCAGCTCTCCTGTGTGAATGTGAAAGTGACAGGCTGTTTACCGGCCGATCATCGGTTCCAATCGATTGATCGCCTTGACTGAACTCAGACTTTGTGTCTTGATACCGCGGGTATCAACAGCTCGGCTGCTTTGTCGACGATGGATGCAGCAGCTGGACGGGACGTGACAGTGAGTGACTCCTTTTAGGCTTTTAAATAATAGCAAGAAGTCCTTTTGGGCTCTTTACTTCTGCTCCACTTGAGTCTCCACAGACAAAAGAAATGACCACTTCACTTCATGGACTTTCAGTGGTAGTTGTAGATTTTGGACGTCGGGTATTTCAGCCTGCAGTTTGTTTCCTCTTTCGGGTTTAATGCATCTTTAAACTTGATCAAATATCTTCATCTTAATCGCCAGTGTCTGTCGGTTCAGTGGGTGACGCACCAGATTGGCGTCATTGTGATGCAATGAGCCGTCTCTTTTTCACGTATCCAGCAGCAGGAAGTAAACACATTTGGAGAGTTTACGTTTTCAAATGTTTCATGGTCAAAAGGAGACGACTTATTGTGTATAATTTCCCAACCAGCTTGTATGGCTCTCGAACAGAAAGAGACACAAAGACGCTGCACTGAAGTGTATTTCACGCCCCAGTGAGATTCCAGCCGCATGGACAACAGCCAGACTCATGAGGAAAAACAAAAGCTGCAGTCCAGATGTGGCCCTCATTACTCTTTATGAGCACAGAGTACAGTTATGAGCAATACGGGTCACGCAAAGCCTCTCAGGCCATTTTGGCAAATAAACCCCATTTTCCTCCATCACATAGCACTCTGATAATGCCCAGATGCACCCGAGTCTGTGTGTTTGCATGCACACTCGCTTTTCCACCCTTATGAGGACCACATTGTTAAAATGTAAAGTTAAAGGAAGCAACAGTAAGTTCTTTGGTCAAAGTCGATCATATTACGCAAAAAAATCGGTGTCCATGTACTTGCATGTTGCCATCTAAGCATTTGTACGCGTTTGTTTGTGTGTGTGTGTGTGTGTGTGTGTTTTAGAGAGTGTATTTTTACAGTATCTGTTTTTTTTGGAGTCATTTTAAAGGGAGCGCAGTTTTACCTTCACCTTGTCCAATTAGACCGGTGCTTTTTTCCATTACGGTAAATACACCATCTCCACATTTTCATTTATGCTCACAAAGCTCACACACACACACACACACACACACACACACACACACACACAAATATGCAAGGAAAGTCACCAACTGTTTAACACTCACCCTGTATTCCCCCTGGCCAAACATGCAGATGAACGCATGGCGCCAGTGGATAAGTGTGTTCATCTAACAAGGCTTGGACGTAGCAATGACGGGTCGATTAACGCAACACAAACACAGCTCTCCGCACGCGGCGGCGCCGCTCCCATGCGAGTCCCCGGTGACAGACGCTCAGGCTGCAGGTTGTAGGGAGAGATTTGAGAAACAGAAAGAAGGCAGAAGGGTTGATTTTTATTAATTGTTGGGTGTAATATGTTATATATGAGTACGAAAGGCGCCTGTGGCGAGCGATCATCTTCAAAGGTCGGATTACTTAAAACGTAACGTATCAATTCAGAGCAGGATTGAAATGTTTGTGTTTTAGAATTCAATTAAATGACCTTTCTTAAGCTAAGGGAATATTTACTTAGCGTATCTAGGATGCCAACGACGCTATCAACCGCTATCAATCGCACTCATGGGGCCATTAGGAGTGTCGATGCCGGGGCATTTTGGGATATGCGTCAAACTGCACTGGACAGTTGGACGAGAAGAACTACTTTGATTTGCCTGTGCGCGCTGAGCGGCGGTGCAGCAGAGACCGCCGGCCCGGCAAATCTAAACGTGGCTTTTCTCCACGTTTACATCCCGTCGGCGCCGGTCGAACGCGCCCAGAGGCCTTTAGCGCCGCTCTGAGTAACGAGCGTGTTTCCTGCAGTTATTTTCCCGGTAGTCGAAGCCCTTTTTCTCCTCCTTCCTTCCTCCACTCGCGCAGGCCGTTCTCTCCCTCTGACCCTCGGCGCCGTCGGACGTTTCGGCATCGCGCACACCGCCTTGTGCCGCTTTAGAGCTGCCTTCCATTAACGCGTGTTTTGTCCGTCCCTGCGGGCTTTGCGCCGCCACACGGGTTGATTTACAGCTCTTATCAAATACATATTGCCAAGCGAGTGAGACGTGCAACCTTTCATTTGCACGCCGCCGCCCTGCAGATTCGACACGGTACATTAACAAGAAAAATGACTGCCGCTATGCATGCCGAGAGCTTCCGTGTGTGTGTGTGTGTGTGTGTGTGTGTGCGCCTGAAAGAGTGAGAGAAATGGAAAGACACAGAGGTGAATAAGAAGTGCAGAAGAGAGATATATCGAACAGTAAGTTCCGAGTTTGAGCTTTTTCATCCGCGGGTGAGAGAGCAATGTGTGTTCCGCTGAAGGTGCGTAATTTATGACTGCGAGTGTGTGTAGTTAAAAAAAAAAAGTGATGGAGTGTGTGTTTGTGAGCGAGAGTGAGGTCATTGGCTGAATGCACCGTCCACGTGATGGGAGCCCGCCGAGGGACACAGCGTGCCAGCGAGGCCTCCGATGTGGTCGGAGAGCATTAGTCGAGCTTTGAACAGGCGAGGCCCAAATGCACAGAGCGCCCGCTTGTATAC